CATTTTCCCATACTTTTAAGCAATTATATCTAGAGCTAGTGCGTATTCATATAAATTAACTAGGAATTATTTCATACTTTTCACTGTACCTTTTTTGAAGTCGGTTAAATTTTTTTTCCAAAAAATTATTTTATTTCACTCTTTTTAGTGGCAATCTATAACCAATAGGTTTCACGCAATAACAATAGTTATGAGCAATATACAGGATGATCCAAAAACGTTGGTGGTCCTTGAAAAGGGTTGTTCCGCGGGAGGGTGGTGGGGGGTTTAAACAATTTTTCCTTAGCGAAAATGTTGCACGAGGCTTCGTTAAGGAGATATTCTAGAAACAGAAACTCCCGACCAATCAGAGCGCGAGTATGTCGGAGAAGCGCCTGCGGAGCCTATGCTACTGCAGGCGCTCCACCGGCATACTCGCGCTCTGATTGGTCGGGGGTTTCTGTCAATATCTCCTTAACGAAGCCTCGAATAATATTTTCGTTAAGAAAAAATTGTTTCAAATCACCCTCCCGAAACACTCCATTCAAGGATATCCAACATTTTTTGGACACCCTGTATAATTGCACATGGGATTATCAGGAATACATCTGCAACTACATGTGAAAGGATTGATTGCGTTTGGTAAATTCCTTGTCGAGCAACACCAGAGCATAGCAATTTTGCACCCAACAATGATTTTAAACAATGAAAGTGTCCATAAATTTTTGCAAATGGGAACATCACGAATTCATCTATTATGAAATGCGGAAGGTTCCATCGCGCTCGGTAATTTCCTCACCGAGTTACATCATATAATAGGAATTTTGCGATAACAATAGTTATAAACAATACAGAAATTCATAAATTTTTGCATTTGTGATCATTGCGAAAACCTCTCCGGCAGCAAAATGTAAGGAGTTTCATCGATTTCGTCGGTTTCAGGCCAAATATACGTGAAATAGTACGCTTTTTGCGATAAAAAGTGATATAAAGTGGTAAAAAATAAGACAAGGACAAATGTTTTGTTATGGGACCAAATGGCAAATGTTCTTCCAGATGCAAGAAGTTTCAATCCGATTGGTCCATCCGTCTCGGAGTAATAAGCAAGACAAAATGTTTTTGTTTAATAAAAAAACGGGATAAAAATGACAAATCACAAAATGTTTCTTTTACCCGACCAACTGGAAGAAATGTTCGACAAGATGCAAGAGGTTTCACTCCGATTCATCAAGCCATCTCGAC